AAACACTGGAAAATATTTTTCGGAAAATGAATTACGTAAAACAAACACGGGAAAATATTTTTCGAAAAACGAATTATATGAAATAAACACGGAATTTCGGAAAAAACCAATTTCGTAATTCATTTTACGGCAAACAAACAAACCCTAAGTTTTAACTAGTACTTACAATGAACTTTTTTTCCCATGAGTGTGTATTATATTTAAATAGTCATATAGTACATGAACATAATTCAATTAGTCAATACAATGTGTAGGTTCGTTAAATCAAAAAAATATCTTTAAGCTAATAAATTATTATTTTATCGATTAATCAATACATCTTTAGATTAATAAAATTATACGGTCCCGATATTATTAATTTATAGAAGTCTTATTGTATTTATTTTATTTTAAAAATTGTCAAGTATTAAATATATATAAAAATATTACTTTAGATCATCGTGATAGAGATATTGAATTGGTTTAAAAAGTTTTCTTATAGAAATCTCTAGTTTTCTTATAGAAATCTATAGTTTTATTAAAAAAGGAAAATATCTAAAATTACAACAAAATTTTATAATCATAAACCTAAATTAAACATATAATTAAGACATTTTCCTATAATCGTTAACATAAAAACTAGTTAATTAAGATCCCACAAGGATCATACAAGGAGAAAATTAAAAGGCTAATAAAAAGACTCGAACAAATGATATATACGAACAGATCTGATCGTATCGGCAAACGAACAATAAAAGAGGATAAAACTACTAAAAAAATCACTGACAAATCACAAATCAAAGTCGAATAACTAATCGTGTATCTAAATCTAATTTGATAATGAAAAGCACAAAAGACTATGTATCTTTAATAAATAAATAAATAAACTGCTATGTATCTCCACCCCACACTTTTCACTTCCTCTCGCTGCACCAAATACACAAAACTTTGTATCTTTAATTGTTTATGTTATTCATGGCTTTGTCCTTATCATACCCATTAATTTAAGTCTCCATACATACCTTATGTGTTGTTGGATCTAAATAATATTTCACTCCACCCTTTATGCAATTTGATGATGTTATGAAAACATGTTTTTAATAGTAACATAGAAAGATTTAAAACATATGATAGTTTTAAATTTTTAGGGAGGATTATCCTCATTCATCTCTCGATTCATCCGTGACTATTATCGACTCGAGTCAAACACAATAACATGAGCATGAGAGGGGTGAACAATTTTTCTGGGTGCTATTTCAAATAAGTGTAACGTCAGTTATAAAGCCCAATCCTTTGGTTGGAGGTCAATTACTACCATCAATTTGAGTCGCACAATGATACCCCATCAACTTGTGTTGCACACAATTCATCGTTTGAAATAGCTGATGGTTGGAGGTCGGGTTTAATAGACACTCAATGCCCAAATAGATATTTAAATTAATGAAAAAATTATTAAAAAAATATTAATAATTGAGAATTTAATTTAATTAAATTATTTTAAAATTGAAAACTATTTTAGAGATACAAATATTAACACTAAAAATATCGATAAAGTTAAAATCAAATCGGGCGACTTGACTGACTCCGTACACAAAACCTAAAAAAAGAAAGCCCTTCTCTTTATAATACCAAAACAAACAACCCAAACGCCAAACAAACCAAGTAATAGGAAGGAACAGAAGACCCATTGATATCATAGAGGATTTGATCGCAAAGGAGGATGATGACGATGATGTTACGGTCTCTTTTGAGTCCTCTTGAACGTTGCCTCGGCATGAGCGCCGCTGGGGATGGCTTAATGTGGCACTCTGACCTTAGACCCCATGCTTCCGGCGATTACTCCATCGCCGTCGTGCAAGCAAACAACAATCTTGAAGACCAAAGCCAAGTCTTTACTTCTCCCATGGCTACCTACGTTGGTGTCTATGACGGTCATGGTGGTCCTGAAGCCTCCATTTTTGTCAACAAACATCTCTTCCCTTTTCTCCATAGTAATTGTTCTCTTTATCTTTCAGTTTTTTTATTCTTTTTCTTTTGGGGAGTTTGATGTGGAATATCATTGTTTCCTTTTCGGGACAATGCGAATTTTTTGGTACTTGTTTTAGTTTATTGAATGTGGGTTTCTTTGCATTTGATTTCTTATTGCATGTGCGTAGGATGAACATATAATTTTGTCTATGGGGATGGCATACCTTTTTTTTGTTTCTGTTCTTTTTAATGGGCAAAGATAATTTTGTGGTAAATCTCTTTCTTATGTGTTGTTTTTAAACACCAATTCAGGTTTGGGCACAACTGATAAGTGTTTGTCATGCATGATCATTTAGTTGTTTGATAACTGCAATTGTGCATGCGATTAATTTGAACCACTGGTCTAAAGTTTTATCTGTATGGTTTGGATGGTGGACTTTATATTTCAAGATTCAAGAATCAATAGCAGTGTTATTCGACATTTAGAATTGGGTTTTGTCCCCTTTGAAACTGATAATTTTGCATTTCAATAGACTGATGAAAAGCATTGTGAAGTGATTTGTTCCCTTGATTCTGTTTTGCTTAATTGTAGAATTTGCTACAGAACAAGGTGGATTATCTGCAGATGTGATAAAGAAGGCATTCAATGCTACTGAAGAGGACTTTTTGCATTTGGTGAAGCAATCATTTCCTCTAACGCCTCAAATTGCTTCAGTCGGATCATGCTGTCTAGTTGGTGCTATTTCAAACGATGTGCTATACGTGGCGAATCTTGGCGACTCGAGATTAGTTCTTGGAAAGCAAGCATCTATGGAAAAGAAAAACATGGTGGTAGTAGAGAGATTGTCAGAAGATCATAATGTTGGAGTTGAGGAAGTCAGGAAGGAGGTTGAGGCACTTCATCCAGATGACTCTCATATAGTGGTATACACCCGCGGAGTCTGGAGGATTAAGGGCATAATCCAGGTACAGTTATGTTTTCAATTTGATATAGAAGAATTCAGGTGCTACTTGCTCTAGGAGTAGTCAATCAATTCAATCTTCTTTATCATTTACACATTTTTTTGGTGCTCGACAATGGATCAGCTCTGCATTTGCCCCAAAGCAGACTAGTATTTTTTTTAATAAAGTATATTAATTCCATCCTTTTGTATCCCAAGGTATCGTTGTTAACAGAACTTTTTACATTTTTCTTGAAAGGGCTTGTGAACTTTATCTGGTTTGTTTTGCTTGATGGAGAGAAAAATTTACACAAATACATTGTACATTGAGATGAAAGTTGTTCTAAAAAAGGGTTGTCCAGCTTTTCCAGGGATAATTTGGTCTGACTTCATGTACTGTCTCATGCAGCTATGTATCAAAAATAGTATGCCTCCTATGCATGAGATGAGACAAATGCAGACCCCTGAAGCATAACACTAAGCTTATGTAATTACAGGGAGTCTTTCCTCTTTTTCTCGTTCTCTCTTGGTGACTTCTTCCACTTACTCTAGCAGGTCAAGCAGCTCTATGCTTCGTCTGTTAATCAATTTTAGGGAATAAGATACATTAGCTATTAATCTTACAGAATACATGATTTTAAAAAATAATGTTATGAATTATGCTGATCTAAGCATTTGTATTTCTTTTATCAGGTATCAAGATCCATTGGTGATGTTTACCTGAAGAAACCTGAGTTCTATAGAGATCCAATCTTTCAGAAATTTGGAAACCCTGTTCCCCTCAAAAGACCTTTTATTACATCTGAACCCTCCATCCTTGTTCGAAAGCTTAAGCCTCAGGATCTATTCCTGATCTTTGCTTCAGACGGCCTATGGGAGCAGTTGAGCGATGAAGCTGCTGTAAACATTGTTTTCAAAACCCCAGAACCGTGAGTGAACCTAGTGGAACTTGTGGTCTTATTTTTATCCCTCAGCAAACTAAACTTATTCATGGCACTTCGGTAATGATTTTTGGTTTGATTGAACACTTGCAGGGTATTGCAAAGAGATTGGTAAGAGCTGCACTTAAAGAAGCTGCAAAGAAAGAGAGATGAAATATGCTGATATAAAGAAAATTGAAAAGGGAATAAGGCGCCATTTTCATGATGATATAACTGTTTTGTTGTTTACCTCGATCAACACCGAGACTCCTGCAATAACAGAGCTAAGCAAAGCGCCTTGGGGTGCATGACGTCACCTGTTGACATCTATTCCTTCAATGCCGGATGCAGATGAAGCAGATGATGATCTGTTTCAAACAATTTCTTGAGAAAAGTTTATTTGTGTACGGGAATGAAATGATGGCGGAATCGGTTCTCAAGAAGAGGATTCATTGGGGAATGTAGAGTTGGAAGGTAAATTGAAGTCAGTGAATGATATTAAGGTGGATGCTGATGGAAACAGGTGATATAGATTTTCCAAGTGAAGCTCTACCAATTTCAAACATCTTCATATCTGATGAATGTTGATGATTGCAGAGAAATGAGGCTACATTTTTGTATTGTCTTGTTCTGAACATTCATATAGGTTACATTCAGTGACTTAAATTTACCTTCCAAACTCTATATTGTCCGTTGAAGTTCTACCAAGTTCAATTATCTTCTTATATTTTCCAAACTCTATATCGTTCACATTTTGTTTTGTAGATGATTGCAGAGAGATGTGAAGCTACATTTTGTATTGTTTTGTTCTGAACATTCATAAAGTTTACATAATATCTTGTTGCTGAATGCTTTTTCCAGTTCTTGAACTCATTGATTCTTGCTTTGAGTCCATCGTATCTTCTCTTATGGTTCACAAGTTTGCAACTTGGGATTAAGAAATTGGGCAAGGATTTGATGATGCTGGGTATTGAGTTCTTTGTACTGTAACTTGGTAAAAACTTCAGAAATTTCTGTTGCTCTATTTTAGAGACAATAAGGTGATGCTTGTGAAATTAATAAGAGAAATGTTGGGTTTTTAGCAAGACATTTAGAAAGTATTATCGGCCGTTAATATTCTCTGTTTTCTTCTTCTTTCTTACATATACCATCCCTTAGGTACTAAAAATATTGCATATAACAATAGTCTACGTGTTAAGCAATCCAGAACGAAACAAAACCCTTAAGAGGTATTTCTGTACGAAGTAGTTATGCTAAAAACACTAGTAATATGGCAAAAAGCATGGTTTTCTTCAGTATCCTTAACGAAGAGATAGGCCCAACAAACAGTAGTTTTTACCTAGTTTCTGAACCCTGTCGGATTCATCAGAGAAAGTGAGGACTAATCAACCCAGCAATTTCAAGAAACCCAATGCGATCTTTCCCTCCGAATATCTTCTTGAGCTTCTCATCACAATTTATCATCTTCTTGTTTCAGGGTCCTAAACAAATGGCCCAAGGATCCAAGACAACACCAGGTCAGTTACAGGTAGCATGAGTACACATTCAATTTCTACAACCACAACAAAGAGCACAGGGGGAAAATGAAGATCAAACCCGGTAACTAAAATTCACAAGACCTTTCATTGCATTAAAAGCCCAAAATTTCATGCATCACTCACAAAGTTGTCAGTAGGGATTAGCTCAATTAAAAATTCAGATGTCTCGCTGACATTTCTGAAGAAGAAAGATTTCTGAGCCATCAGCTTCCCGCAAACAATTATTGGTAGAAATCCGAATTTCAGAAATCATAACCATATAAAAGTCATTGCATAAGTTTAACAAATCATCATGATTAGCATACATTCTTGAAAATTTCAAATTCTCAAATAATTTAAATATTTTCTATTGATAATCTATTTTGGACTCTGAAATTTTATAAGTTCATCCTTCTAAAATTTTATAAGCATGCTCCTAACATAAAACCCTGCCCCGGCCCCTTATGAATATGATGAGTGCCCCCAAAGTAGGCAACATTATTAACTTTGGTCGAGGGCTCGAGGCATTAAATTCTAGGCTTCAAAGCTTCCCATCGATCCCGGAGGACTAACCGCACGTCCTTGACCAACATAATAAATATCCCAAACAGACAGTGGCACTAACCAGTAATGATACGCTTAAACGAAAGAAACCTAGTTAGGCTTAATCATAACAAATAACCCCATATTGCATTGTAATCAAAGAAATTGCACATAGTATCTTCACTAAACTTCACATGCAGAGATTCATCTAGACAATTCAACTTCCAAATTCCCAAATGTTTAAGGTAGATAGATTATAGATAAAACATTGAAACGAGCAAGAACCCAACAGAACCACGCCATGTTCAAACGAACATATATATTCAAAACCCATTTTAGGATATAGGATATGCTGTATGTTTTAAATAGGGAAAAAAGATGAAAAGCAACAGACAAAGAACCTGAAGATTGTGCTCTTTAATGTAAGCCCAAATCTGCTTAAGAGCTTGAGGTCGGGAAATCTCGGGAACTCCAACGACAGTCTGCATCTCAGGCGAAACGCGACGCGGCTTCATGATGCCACGGGATATACGAGGGCCGGTGGCGGGCTTTGAAGTAGTGGCTAGAGTTACAGTTCGTACCATGCGCAAGTTAGTTGGAAGGAGGAAACGCGAAGAAGAGGATTTGGGTGAGAAGCAGAGAGTTTGGGGCGAAACGAAAGTGGAAGAGGCTGCCATTTTTCTTCCCTCTTTGATTGTTTGGACTTTGGAAGAAGAAGCTGAAGGGAGAAGTGAGGGTTTTGCGTTATCATCTTGTTTTTGAATTTTTTTTGTTTTATCTTAGTTTTTCACACGTGAATAGATATTTATCTTATATATTTTATTTATGGGATGATTTTTTTCATTGTTTATTATTAGGTAAAATATATAAATAATCATTCTATTCAGCTATAGATTGAAAGAGAGTGGCTTGAAACATTGTCTTTTACAAATTTAAAATTTTTATTTATAATTTATTTTCAAATTTTATAACTTTACTCATAATATAAAATTCTATGTTTATTCTTGATTTTATTAGAGAATTTTATAAGGTGATTATAAAGTAGGAATTAACTTACCTCACTGGTTAATTGAATTGTTCTTCTTAGAAGTCACAAATTCTAGCACCAGCGGTTGTAATAAGATGATTGAACATTCACAGTCAATGGTTGAGAATGTTTAGAACACATGTTATTTTATAATTACCTTAGCTTATTAAAAAAAGCACTATAAAGTAATTATTTAACTTAAAAATTAAGCAATTAATTTAATATTATTTAAGATTTAATAGATAATATAATGATTAATAAACTTAATAATAATATATTTATCTTTCAATCTTTTAATTTTATTATAATTTAATCCGATCTCTAAAACATAAACTCTATTGCCACCATTTTCATCACCCTTATCCCTCCTCTACCCTTATTACCACCATTGTCACAATCCTCATACCGTAGGACACCGTTATTCTAAATTTTTTCCCTTTTATTGCAAAATTTTGAGCTTTCCTTTTTCTTTTCATCCTCCTCTTATGTTCTATTTTAGGGTTATATTACCGTTAAATTAAACCAATTTTTTTTTCTTTGCCATTGGGGAAATATGAATTCTTAAAGTACTTGTTTCTTGTGAAGTTTTGTTTAATCAATTGGGTTTGGAGCATTGGGAGAATGGGAGTGAGTTTTTGCTTGGCTTTGTTTTTATATCGAGGAATGAATATGTACTTTTCATTTTCTCCGTATGATTGATTTTCATACATTAAGATCTTCATAAAATTTCTCCTCTAGAGATAAAAACATAAAAGCGACTAAAAAAAGCATCTTTGAACATAAGGATGAAACGTCTCTTGAGAAGTATTGATACTTTAACATGATCTCTGAAAAGTATCATATGATCCGTTAGAGTAGAAATATATTGTCTATCATATTTATTATGGTCAGTATAAAATATCTCAATCAAGATCAAGAGAAAGACTAGAACCTCTTTATGGAGACAAAAGACTCAAACATACCAATATATCATCATCTCCGTCCAAATAAGAAAGAGTGAACCATCAACTGATGATACAAATCGTTTTGTTCCCATTAACAACATGCGATGAGTATGAAACACTCCCAACAAAAAAAATCAACGAAATACACCCTTTAAGACAAAATAATCAATATCACATCTCATCTTTCTCCTAAAATCTCCTTTGACGTACTTTGTTATTTACAATCGATACTAACAAAATCGAGTGGTAGACTTGCATGTGCAGTCGAAGATCCCTCGAAAAATAGCGTAGACAATGTGACAAACTCTCCTTACTCATATCACTCTTCCTACAAGCATTGGAATCGGACAGACAACGTTGCTCAGGACCTTGCTCTCACTGATGAATCTATATGTGCCCATCTTGAAATTCAAATTTATGTATGTTAATTGTTCATTTTACTAATGATGTCCACCTAAAATTTATGTGTCCACCACATACAAAAAAATCAGTTATTAATATATGTGTCCCATGAAAAAATATTCTTGGATTCGACACTGCATGCTCCCTTCACATGCCCTTATTCAGACTCGAGGCAACAAAAAATAGAGATGTTTGTCATCACAACGACATTGTAATTCGTGATTTAGTCTCAAAAAATAGATAAGCTACACAAATAATAATAATAACAGATGTAGCTAATAGATATGTGTCAGAACGTTCCTTAAGTTTTTTAGGACTTTAGAAGGGGATCAAACCAACTTAATTTTAAAATATTGTATTTTTGATAAATAAATAAATTTGGAGACACCATTGACCACTGGATTAGGTAGGTCGAATAACTAAAAGTGTTTTAATAATTTTAAGAAAAATTAATTTAAAAGATAAAAATAACATGCATTTAACTAGAACTCGTTTTGAAAGGGTTCGATAATCGATTACACGTGAGAAATGATTAGCACCCCCACATCGCCTGAAATCGATACCTATGCGATTATATGTCATCTAAATATCGAAACTTGCAAATTCAAATATATATTTGAATTATGATCCTTTTAGAAAAATTAGAAGGGATATCATTTCGTACAAATAATCCTTGAAAGCGCATTCCTTGTTAGTTAATGCACATTTTTATATTCCCCGTACAGAATCATATTGTATTGATTTTTAATAATAAATTATATATTAATATTTTAAAAACTTACTTGAATAACAAAAGAGTACTATTTTATTCTAGAATCCTCGGAATCACACTCCTTTTAATTAAAGTGTATTTCTATAGATTCTTCATATTTCATATGTTAAAAAAAAACTTACTTAAATAAAAATGTTTCTTCGTATGAACAACCCTCTGAAACATGATTCTTATCCGTTAAGGTTTGTTCCCATAAATTTCTTGCACGAGATACATTACTTTATATTTTAATATATAATATATAAAATATTTTAAAATGACATTTTTACCTAGAATAATATAAATTACACAAAAATTATAAGGTATAAATGTATAAAATACATAGACTAAATGAATATAAATGCAAACATGGTAAAGAACAAGGACTAAATGCAAATGAAGTAATCACGTGTACTGGAAATGAAATAAGCTCATAAACACATGAAGGACTAAAATGAAATGAAACATAATATAAAGTTCAAATTAAAAACAAGCATAAAAATAAATGTTGGAATCTTAAAGGACTGAAATGTAAATGCTAGAATTTTAAAGGACTGAAATAAAAATACTAAAAATTTAAAAGACGTAAATTAAAGTACAGAAAATTAAAGGCTGGAATTTAGTAACAATAACAATCATATAAATAGAGAGTTATTAGTTAGTGAGTTAGAAATTAGCAATTGACATGTTAGAATTTTATCCGGATCACAATAATGTTGGTCATACCCCCACTACGGGTTGCCATAAGGTCGTACAATAATTTGGAATAAATTATAAGATCAATAGTTAAATTTGAAATTAGTAAATTAAAATCTTATATGAACCTTAATAATGAGGGTTATATCCCGAAACGAGTCACCACAAAGTCATATAAAATGTTTATTAACAATAAATTAAAACAAAAGGAAAATTGCATGGTCAGTACATATATTCAAAATAAATAAATAAATAAGCAATCCGTGACTAAATTCGAACCAAACAGAATTAGTAGGTTAAAATCAAAATAAATAAATAACAACAAATGATGACCTAAGTGCACATACGATCTAAATATATGGGAACCCAAAGTGAATTATCCCTAAACTTTACGTATTTAATCTCTTTTTGTTTCAATTAATTTTCCACTTGACCCCGAAAACTTAAAATTCTCTCTCAACCTTATCCCATCTCCCTCGCCAGTCGAAGCTCCCAAATGCCAAATCCTCTCACTGGCCACCGTGCGTTGATGGTTTTTCTATACCTCCGACCATCGTCCACGATGCTTGTGAAGCCCTAGACTGAGGCAACCACTTCCCTTTTTACATCTAAATCTTAAATCGACCACTAGAAGACAAAAAGTAGTCTTTAATCTCGCAAAACAAAGTTCGAACTTTCAACTTCTAGCTCCGATGAACCTAAAACCACTCAGAATTGAAACCGAGCCTCCCTCACCCTCCTTTAGACCCTAAAACGACTCTAAGACTAAGATAAAAGAGCCCTAAAATGCTAAGGGATCATGACCCTTCAACTGCCTCAACCCCCCTCCCCCGACGATTAGAACTCTGGTGGCGACCTCTACTTTCGGCGATACACTCGAACACACAAGGTAAAGCTCTCACTCCTCTACTTTTTGGTTCGAAATACCAAAGAATTAATAACCACTGTTGATTCCAAAACTAAATCTAAAAAAATACCTTCCAAAACGAAATGAGTTTTTGTACTTGAAAAATTGAAATTGGGAGACGATTGTTTACATTGCTTTTTTGGAAGATGAAGAGAGAGCCCCAATTATAATTTTCTTTAGTGTTTTTATAACCTGTGTGCCCTCAAAAATGAAAAAAAAAAACATTATTACATTATCTCTTTTTGTTGTCTTTTAGCATGTTGCTGATGGGGCTTTGATCGGTCGATTGCTGATCTTGTGAGGAGGGCTAGGTTCATGCTTGTTTGCGACCATCGTGGAGCATCCTTTTGAAACAAAGGTTTGGAACCACTGTTTAGCGAGCACTGGCGTGGAGGATGAACATACACGAGAAACGGGGACCACAAGACAATGGTTGCTTGCTTGCCAACGTGGAAGGTGGAAAGTCACGTGGACGGCAAGGCCACTAGTAGTGATGGCGCTGTTGAAATATAGAAACTCTAGGGTTTCTTGTGTTTGCTTGATTTGGGTCGATTGGGTTTCTTTCAGTTGGGCTTACGATTTGATAATGGGTTATAATGAAACGGGTCTGATGTAAAGTGAAGGATCCGAATGGAAAGATGAAATGGAATCATGAGTAGAGGAGAAAGAAGAAGCACCTTCCAAAGTATCCCAGATATCTTCTTACCATACTTCGATGATTGGCTCCATCAGAACTTTTCTTGGAACGCTGTGAAGACGTAGATATGGTAGCATCAGAAGGAACTGTCGAAGAATTATACTGTAGAACCTCCTCGACTCATTCATAATAAGAGCCTCTTCGCCATGTTCACCATGTTTCGAACCTTCAACACTATCTGGTACAAAGTCAATCGAAGATCCTCCTCAAGAAGGGGAAGTCTAAATGATGAAGGGACTAGATTCTCCAAGTTAGCTAAGTTTTTGCCAGTGCCAGTATTGGTGGTTATTGATGTCCTAGATTGAATTGGAATGGCCGGGACAGAATTCACCAAACTATCGCTGTTATGGCCCAAGGATAAATTAATTGTGGGTTCTAATAAGATCCTGTCTACATACATAATTTGGGTTAAAAAAGAATAATTGGTTGGTCTATCAAAACCTGTCTCGAATTGCCCATATTGACTTCACTCTAGAAGCAATTTGTCAACTGCATGGCTTCTAGTAATCACCGTCCTAGAGTCGCCAAAATTGTTACCCGTTAAGATATTACTTGTACTCAAGCTAGTATCAACTCCATTAACAGTTCCCGACATTGGGGATATTAATGCAATATCATCCTGAATACCAACATGCACAGATCTGTCCATTTCCTCTGGATGACTCAAAAGTTCATTAACATCCATGTGGACTCCGGTGACCTCCTTCGTCCGAAACTCTTCCAGCCAGAGACATATGCGGAATTCTCATTCTCATTGATATATTCTGAATTATCTATAGCTTTGGAAACTCCCCCAAGCTATTTTTATATGAAATGTCCGGCCCTTAGATGAAACCTTGATTACTTTGGAAATGTCTAAGAGGCTAGCAGCTTTGATGATCATGTTGGCAACATCAAAACAGTTTTTCTGCTTGGTGTCCTCGTCTAGCTGCACAAAATATCCCCACCTATTTCCAATCGCAGAGAAAAAAACTCTCATGCCAGCAGTGTAATGGAACCCCCATTAATGAAACAAGCAAAAGGAAAAAGGCAAGCCATCTTTCATGGTCATAGGGGCCAAATGCTTGAACCAGAAATCTAAAACCTCAATTTTATTCTACCATGCATTTTCTATTTTAGTTTTCTATTCAAAAACTATAACATAAGAACTGCAACATGTTAGACTGTTAAAGAACATGCACGTGTATTGCTGTTAAAGAAATATGCACATGTATTAAGCAGTTAGTCTGTTAAGTGGTTAGCTGGAGTTGTTAGGCAGTTAGAGGAAAGCTGATGAGCATTGTATCTCTTATAAATTGGTGTACTTGTTGATATGATAGATCATCATTTTCCTGTGTAAATACACCATTGAAATTAGTTTTCCAATATGGTATCATTCGCTAAAAGATCCTGGCGTCATTGTCGCTTCCGCCGTTGCGCCGATTGAATTCCTTTACTCTCCTGCCGTTACTACGGCATAGTTTGTAGATTTTTTTTCCCGATCTTCAGTTTTGTTTTCGCTGTTTTGTTGCTTCTGCTCCTAGTTGCTTCCATTCTCCTCGGTGATCCTGGTAACATTTTCTCGTCAGTGATTGATCTTCTCAACCGCTGTTCTTGATTGCTTTATCTGCTACGGTACATGTGGTTTATCGTTGTCGTCATCATAGTTACTGGGAATCTTCTCAATTCATCTTCTATCTCTGTTCCTGTTCGGTGTGCATGCTTCCAATCTGTTCGACCAAATGTTTCAATGATGTTGCTGGTGTCTGATTTGTTTCAGTAGAACGGATGAAATCATTCAACTATGATACTGCGACCATTTCTCTTCCGCTTTGTTGGTGTTCTTATTCAATCGGCCTCGCTCTTCTCGAGCAACTCATTAGCGGCAAGAAAGATGCTGCCAGAAACTTTGCTTGTGGCCACTATTCAATTGGCAAGGAGATCGTCAACTTGTGCTTAGACCGTATCAGAAAGCTCGCTGATAACTGCACTGGTTCTGGTCTTGGTTCTCTCCTTCGGGTGCGTCTGTCCGTTGATTACAGCAAGAAATCCAAGCTAGGTTTCGCTGTCTACCCATCTCCTCAAGTCTTTACTTCTGTTGTTGAGCCCTACAACAGTGTTCTCTCGGCTCACTCTCTTTTGGAGCACACCGATGTATCTGTTATTCTTTACAATGAGGCCATCTATGACACTTGCAGGTGCTCTCTCGACGTCGAGCAACCCACTTACACCAATGTTAATCGTCTTGTCTCTCAGGTGATCTCCTCTTTGACTACTTCACTAAAGTTCAATGGTGCATTGAACGTCGATGTAATCGAGTTCCAGACCAACTTGGTCCCCTACCCAAGAATCCACTTCATGCTTTCGTCTTATGCTCCAGTCATCTCTGCCGAGAAGGCTTACCATGAGCATCTATCAGCTGTTGAAATTACCAACAGTGCTTTTGAACCCTCTTCTATGATGGTCAAGTGCAACCCTCGTCATGGCAAGTACATAGCTTGTTGTTTGATGTACCGTGGTGATTTCATGCCCAAAGACATCAACGTTGTCATTGCCACCATCAAGACCAAGCGCACCATTCAGTTTGTGGACTGGTGCCACACCGGATTCAAGTGCGGCAACTTCATATGAACGAGTACGCTAAAATAAAAAGGTTTTGATTCCTGAAGGAATTCCAGATGAAAGAAGGAAAAATGTGGGCTTTGTTAGCTCAAACAGGACAAAAAATGTATTCGTCAGTTGTTCAAATTCTTCATATCAAGTAGTTTTAGTCTGTCAAGGATCCTTGTATAAGAGGATGAAGAAGAAATAAATGAAGGTGAATAAGAAGAACGAAAGGAAGCATCATCACTTTCGATTCAAAGTGAACGAAAGGAAGCATCGGCACTTTCGATTCAAGAAGAACGAAAGGAAGCATCGGCACTTTCGATTCAAAGTGAACGGAAGGAAGCATCCGCACTTTCGATTCAAGAAGAACGAAAGGAAGCATCGGCACTTTCGATTCAAAGTGAACGGAAGGAAGCATCCGCACTTTCGATTCAATTGTTCATCTTTTCATCAAGAAGGTTTAGAAAGTAGGAAGAATGTTAGACTGTTAAAGAACATGCACGTGTATTGCTGTTAAAGAAATATGCACATGTATTAAGCAGTTAGTCTGTTAAGTGGTTAGCTGGAGTTGTTAGGCAGTTAGAGGAAAGCTGATGAGCATTGTATCTCTTATAAATTGGTGTACTTGTTGATATGATAGATCTTCATTTTCCTGTGTAAATACACCATTGAAATTAGTTTTCCAATACAACCATATCCCCACTTTGATATTTTGGCCTGGATCCCATCATTGGTCAAGACCCTTTGGATAAAATCACCATCATATATATGCTTAAAACCCCCGATCAAGCAATTTTCAATCCACTAGTTTTCACCCACAGGAAGATGAATATCCATAACATTAGAGGACTGCTCTACTAGTCCGCCTCTTGAACTGCTCGGTAAAACTTCTTTGAAAGATCTTTCATCTTTAAAACCATCGTGGAAAACTTTTTCCGTTCCCTTATGGATACCGAGATGTTGTTCAGTACGTGGGTTGACCGATGTGCTCTTTGTGACATTTTGAAAGCCATGGGAATTACTTGCCCGAGGTACTGGTTTTGGAAACCTAGCTTTGGAGAAGGAGACCATCCTTCCATCGATATAAGAGTTATTGACTCCTGCAATAGCTCTATCCAGTTCTTCCACCGTTGCAAAACTAACAAATACAAAAGTAGTCTTGTACCTTTCTTTGTTTAACAATAATGGAATAAATAATATTGTCACCTTGCCGTAATGGTTGAATAACTCCTTCAGAGCCCCTCTTAAAACCCTCTTACTGAGGTTGTCCACGAATGTCGTCCATTCTCTGCCATCATAAGTTGAAAAGTTGGTCTTCCCACCGACTTTGGTCTGGTTCATTCTCGAGAGAAAATTATGATATAGTTGTGATATAATTGTGCTCTCTTTTTCTTTATGCCCTCAAACTTAAATGAAACATAATATAAAGCTCAAATTAAAAAAAAAAGCATAAAAGTAAATGTTGGAATCTTAAAGGACTGAAATGTAAATATTGGAATTTTAAAGTACTAAAATGTAAATATTACAATTTTAAAGGAATGGAATATAAATGCTAAAAATTTAAAAGGTAGAAATTAAAATTATAAAAAAATTAAAGGTTTGAAATGTAAATAACATAAAATAAACAATCGAATAAATTAACGATTTAGGAGTTAATGAGTTAGAAATTAGCGATTAGTATATTAGAATTTTATCCAGACCATAATAATGTAGGTCATACCCAAAACGGGTCGCCACAAGATCATAAAATAATTTAAAATAAATTAAAAGGTTAGCAGTTAGTAAACTAGAAATTAGTAAGTTAGAATTTATCCGCACGATTATAATGTGGGTTGTACCCAGAACGGATCACTTAAAGGTCTTATTGAACGTTTATTAACAATAAATTAAAACAAAAGGAAAATTGCATAGTCCGTACATGTATTCGAAATAAATAAATAAAAAAAAGGCTACCAGTGATTAAATTTGAACCAAACATAATTAGTATGTTAAAATCAAAACAAATAAAAATAATAATATTAATACATAATGACCTAAGTGCAAATACCTGCTAAACATCGTGGGACCTAATGTGAATTAGCCCCTAAACTTTATGTATTTAATCATTTTTTTTGTTTATATTCATTTTCTACACATTTTTTTGTTTCAATTCATTTTCTACTCAACCAAAAAAAAAATTAAAATTTTTCTCTCAACCTTCTTCCATCTTCCCTCGCCAGCCGAAGCTCCCAACTGCCATATCCTCTCACGGGCCACCGTGCGTCGGTGACTTTTCTGAACCACGATCTACGATGGTCGTGAAACCCTAGACCACAACCAAATAAAGCCAAACGCTCCCTTTTTTTTTGTTAATATTATTTGTCTATTTTTGCAGGCCAAACACTTAAACTCAAGAATTACAAAGATCCCGCAGACCAAAATCTAAAGCCCAAAATTAATCCCGAAGCCCAAATGACGTTGACCCACGTGAGAACCCTATATTACTTAGGGGATGTTTGATTCACGACATATGGGATTACCGGGGGAATGAAATGTTATTCCCCCGTTTGGTTGGTCAGTAATTCTATTCTCTGGTAATCTTTTATTTCTAACAGTGGATTTTTTGGGGTATATTACTGGGAATGTGATTACCCCCTTCCCTTAGGTATTGTTGGATTATCGACATTTTGGACTAAAATGCCCTTAATTTTTTTTCAAAAATATCATTCTCCTGTCGTTGAATATTAAAAATTCTACGAATGTTAAATTACAAATTTATCCTTAAACTATTTTAGATTTACAAAAAAAATTTATAATTAGAATTTTATATGAAGTTCATGGGTTAAAATAAAATTTTACCCTTTCATTAAATCTATTTATCTTTTCAATTTTGTAAAAAAAATTATATAAATTTTATGAATTTAAATTTTTTAAAGAAAATATATAAATTAATTATAGTAATATTATAGTAGAATTCAACTTGTTAAGAAAACAAATATATATAAGGATAATTTGGTAAAATATATATTCCAATAATCTTTTATTCCTTTAACCAAACACGTGTAATCTTACATTCCTGCTGAACGAACCAAACACAAAATATAACATTCCCAGTAATTCTATTCCTCAGTAATCTTTTATTGTTGTGTATTGGTTCTTGGAATATTAATGATATATAGAAGAATATCTATGTATATCTTTTCAATGAAAATTTTTATAAAAAAATAGAATTTACGGATTAATCGAATATTTATTCTTTTTAATATTTGTCAATTTTTTTATGATTTTAATATTTTATCCCAATAACTTATTTTGTTAAAACAAATATTTTTTTCTTGAGTTAGAAATTCGTTTTCCTTGTCTTTTGTAATTCTAATTTTTTTCTATTTAATTTTTTGATTGTGTTTGTTTTCGTAGTCATATCCTTTATTTTTTTTTTCTGTTAGACCATCTCTAACGCAACGTTTGAGTAAAGAAAATCTTCACTTTAGAGTAGAGATAGTGCTCCAGCCCATCGCCACTTTGGAGTAGAGATAGTGCTCTAGCTATAGTAAAACGCTACAACTGACGTTTTATTGTAGCTGCACTACATATATTTTTTTTTGATTTTTGGTTTTTGTTATTTTTTTTACTTTCTTTTTTTATTTTCTTTTTATTTTCCTTTTCTTTATTACATTATTTTCTCTTTTATATTTTTTATTATAATTTCTACACAAAAAAATAAAAATTAAACATAATATAATAAATTCAAGTAGATTAAATTGCAAGATCTTAATTCTCCAATTGTAGGAGAAATAAATCTTAATTCTCCAATTTTCTCTGTATTTTCGCAATGTTATTTATGAATGTTTGATTTATGTTTTTTATCTTGATATTTATTAGAAATGTATATGTTTTATTTTATATTTGTAAAATCAATATTATAATAGTTAAATATTGTGAATAAAGTAGAGTTGGTAGTAATGTAGATAAGGGTGTTCAAAATTCGGTTTTAACCGAATTAACCGACCAAACCTAACTAATTCAGTTAATTCGGTCGGTCACCGAATTAGTTTGGTCGGGGAACGGTTAAAGATTTTTTGGATATTCGATTAACGGTTAATTCGATTCGAAATCGGTTAATTAACCGAATTAAACTTTTTTTTTATTAAATATATTATATATAACATATGGGCTCATCCCAAACCATTTAAAACCCAATTAATAATTTAAGATCCAATAACTTTTAAACCTAAATCAATATTAATTAATTAAAAATTTTATATAAAATTTTTATTTTATAATTATATATTATTTAAATTAATTGTAAACTGTTTTTCTGAATTAAAAAATATTAAATATATTATATATAACATATGGGCTCAACCCAAACCATTTAAAACCCAATTAATAATTTAAGATCCAATAACTTTTAAACCTAAATCAATGTTAATTTATTAAAAATTTTATATAAAATTTTTATTTTATAATTATATATTATTTAAATTAATTATAAATTGTTTTTTTGAATTATAAAATATTTAATTTTTATATAAATTAGAAAATTTTTAAATTTTTTTGGTTAATTCGAAAATTAACCGAATTAACCGAAATTTATTCGGTTCGGTTAATATTTTCGAAAAAAAGTTCGGTTTGGTTAGCGGTTAAAGAAAAAAAAAAGTTTGATTAATTCGATTAATGATAATTCGGTCGGTTCGGCCACCGAATTAACCAAATGAACAACCATAAATATAGAGATAATACTGGAGATGAATTATTGTTTCATCATTAGAGTAGAGATGGAGATATTGTAGAGTAAAGATGAGGGCGGGAGATGGCCTTAATGAATAATTTGTTCGCTTCATAGATTGAATTTGAAGGGATGATTTTCAAAATACAACATTATCAATAATCATATTCTTACTGGTAATCTTACGTTCCGCAAACTAAATCTACAGGGTCTTAAATATTTCCTCCAAATTTATACAAACTAAATATTCAAAAAAGAACTTTAAAAAATGGAAAAAATAAATTCGACCAAAAAATTAAAATCCATTGTTTTTATGAGCTAAAAAGGTGATCGCGTTAGATTCTCAATTAGAATTCCTCTCCTTCCCTTGGCGCCCAAATAGAAACCTAAAGCGGATAATAAGCAGAAAGAATAAAACAAACCTCATCGACTTCTTGATCTCTTTGAAGTCCGACGCCGCTGACTTCCCCTTGAGGATCCACGTCATCTTTATCGTTAGCTTCATCTTCAACATCGTCATCGTCATCGTCGACTCCTTCTTCGCTGTTACTAATCAATTCGATAGCTCTTTGACACTGTTCCAGCACAGCTTGCAAAGTCTTCCTCGTAACACGAACCTGGTCTTTCTCTTCCAAAACTTTTCCCATCATCTCCCCACCTTGGCAAGATTCGCTGCTAGAGCCAGCTACCACTATCTCCATGTTATCAACCCTAAAACAAATCTAAAAAAATACACCGAACACAGAGAAAAAAGGATGAATTTATTTATTGTTTTAGAATTGGTGGTGAGGAAGAACGTGTTTTTGCTTTTGAACTTTTTTACTTTGCTTTGGCAGTGAACACAGAGAAAAAAGGAAAGTGCACAAGACACCATGTCAGCATTGGAGCTGCTTCACGCTGGATTCTTGAGATCCATTTGGGTTCGGGTGCGTGTCCGACCACGACAAATTATAAATTTACAGTTTATTGCTAATAGTTTATTTGTTTATGTTAAATTTATGTTTAAATACAACTAATCTTCTCCTGAAAAAAAAAACCTCCGATCAATGTTTGTATTTATTTATGAATAAATATTAGATAAAATCCAATAGAAAAAAATTAAGTTGGCTAAGTTTATGAATATCGTGATTCAAACGTTATTTAAATTTTCAGTCGAGTTATGTTTATAAAATTTGAATCAAATATATTTATTTTAATTTATTTTTAATTTAAATATAATCATTTATAATATCATGGTATTAATTGATTTCAATTTAAACAACATTCTCTAACTATATTTAATATATATATGTATAAATAAGATTTGTGGTGTTATTGAATAAATTAAATACTTTATAAAATTATGTAATATATTTATAATTTTATTTTTTAAATAATACATTTTGAGGATAGTGTATTTATTAGAATATGAAAGAGTCTAAAATCAAATAATTGCAGCAATTGGATTGTCAATTTGAATGAAATAAAAATTTACATAACTAAATTTGAAAAAAAAAATAAAAACAATTGTTATTAAAAAAAATTATATTCTAAAACGGTATATCAGAATGTGGTTCAAACTTAATAAAAAATAGATTTCAAATGAATTAAAAATTGAATAAATAAATAAATCATACAAAGTTAAGAGATTAAATTAAAAAAAATAAAAGATTTTTGTAAAAAAAAAATCGAATCTACGTAGAGATTATACAGTGGTTTATCCCTACATTTACTTGTAACTAAATAATTTTTTAAAAGATTTACTTACTATATTGAGGTAATATTATTTTTCTCTTCTGTGTTATAAAAGAATTTTCAAATATATGTAGTGTTAAATGTTGTGTTGAGTTTAAAATGTAGTCGGGTTAAAAGCTTTAAGTTAATATTTTCATTTTTTGTATGTCGTGAGTTCAAAATTTATTAAGAACAAAATTTTGCTCGTTAAAATTTTGCTCGACTCATGCATGTTAAAAAATTTATTCCTTGACTCATTCTCGTTAAGCTCACATAAATTGTTACTTTATTAATAAAATCTACAAATACTATATAGTTAATATAAATATAAATTAATAAATTTAATAAAAAAGTATCAAAAGAGAGTATGAATCAACTTAAAAGCCTAAACTTCAAAGCAACAATTCATAAATACATTAAAATAATAATTAGGGTTTGATTTTTAGTGAACTAAAATTTAATTATTAATTAATAATTTAGTATTTTTTATCATTTATTAAAAAATTAACATATTAGTAATTTATCATCATTTTTATTATCTATTAGTAAATTATTAAATTTTTAATGAAATAATTTTTAAAAAAAATCACTAAAAATTTATAAAATAAATTAACAAGTTGCTCATGAACTTATCCAGTTAAGTTGGACTTTGTTTGACACAACTTGTTGAGGTCTCGAGTTGAACTCGAGTTTGAGTCCAATCAACCTCAGCTGAACTTTGACAAATTTTGACCGAATCAAGTTTCAGTTATTCAACTCATTAAACATCCCTAATAGAGGTAAATTTATAAAATTGTAAGAGATCAAACACGATTAAACCTCAAATAATAGCTATCCAAATTTCAGGAAGAACTGAATTTATCTTCAGTACCATGTCTGTTCTCAACAAGCAAGGCGACGAATCATTTGTCTTGTTTCATTACAGTTCGTCTAAAATTTAGGTTCAGTCAAACATGAGTGATATTTCGTGCCCCGTATTGCGGGTTGTACCTTTCATTTTAACTCAAATAGATGGAACTCCCACGGTAACAGAACAGAGCAACCGTGATCGATTCCGTACATGATACGGGCCGATGGGCCCAATCCGAAAAAACACGGGGTGGTAAGGCGGTTAAAGAAAGCAAATAATTGCCGCGATTCTCATTCCCCTCCAATAATAAACAATTATTAAATTATTTTTGGAATCAAGAAAGTAGAATTAACGGGTTAACTCCGGAAAGGTAGATTAATATACGGTTAATATATAATGTTACCGGATATATTAAAAGATATTTGATAAATTCGGTTTAGCGCTATCTGAAATATCGAGTAATAATAATGTAATAGGTGGAAATCATGAAGAAATATTAAAAAATTTGGCAACTAGCAAACTTAGCTTGTCGGTTTGTGTCGATACTTTATAAAAATATATTGATTCATAATAATATAACAGGTAAAAAAATGACAAACCGATTTATAAATGACAAAACAGGTAAAGCGCTACCGGATATATTGAAAGTGTTAATACTTTATAAAAATATATTGACCCATAACAATATGACATTTAAAAAAATGACAAAACCGGTCTATAAATGACAAAACAGGTAAAGCGCTACCGAATATATTGAAAGTGTCGATACTTTATAAAAATGTATCGATCCATAACAATATAACAGGTAAAAAAAAGACAAAATCGGTCTATAAATGACAAAACAGGTAAAGTGCTACCGGATATGTTGATAGTGTCGATACTTTATTATAAGTATCGACACTTTTGGAATTTAAAAGAGAAGAAGTTATAGAGCTAATAAAGTGTCGATACTTTATAAAAATGTATCGATCCATAACAATATAACAAGTAAAAATATGACAAAATCGGTCTCGAAATGACAAAACCGGTAAAGCGCTACCAGTTATGTTGAAAGTGTCGATACTTTATTATAAGTGTCGATACTTTATTATAACTATCGACACTTTTGGAATTTAAAAGAGAAGAAGTTATAGCGTCAATAAAGTGTCGATACTTTATAAAAATGTATCGATCCATAACAATATAACAGATAAAAATATGACAAAATCGGTTTCGAAATGACAAAACCGGTAAAGAGCTACCAGATATGTTGAAAGTGTCGATACTTTATTATAACTATAGACACTTTTGGAATTTAAAAGAGAAGAAGTTATAGCGTCAATAAAGTGTCGATACTTTATAAAAATGTATCGATCCATAACAATATAACAGATAAAAATATGACAAAATCGGTCTCGAAATGACAAAACCGGTAGTAAAAAAGTGTGCTTGTGTGGTCATTTTTATTTCAGAATTTTCATTTTTTAATACAAAAAGTTGGATATTTTAAGCAAAACCAGTAAGAAATCTACCATGTTATAAGTTTCTCAAAGAACAAAAACCCAGAAACAGACATCTCTCAACGCTAACTTATGATATACTTTTATTATCTCTATAGGATAAAGTTAGGTCAGTTTTAGTTTTATTTTTTTTGTTATGATTTTGTGTCATTGAAACTGTTGATTGAAGAACTCAAACTGGTGCACGCATAAGTGTCGATGTATTTATGAAAAGGATCGATTCAAAA